ACCTCAAATTATATCATCATCATCATCACAATATTAATAATAATTAGATCTAATAAAAACCATTTACATTTAAACCAAATGATAGTTTTCAACTTTTTACATCAGAATCACTGCTTGAAATATCTGTAGAAACTTAAATAAAATGGAGATAAAAAACATCCTCCACTTGTTATTTTTTCACTCCTTTTTGAAATATAGTTTATATATTCTAGGCATTTCCTATAAATGGAATCAAACAATATGCGGTCTTTTGTGACTGGCTTCTTTCACTTAGTATAATGTTTCCAAGGTTCATCCCTGTTGTAACAACATATCAGTCCCTCAGTCCTTTCCATGGCTGCATGACAGTCCATTGTATAGGTGTACACCACATTTTATTTATCCATTAGTCAGTTGTTGGACATCTAGATTTTCTACTTTTTGGCCGTTGTGAATAATGCTGCTATGAACATTCGTGTGCAGGTCTTTGTGTAGACATGTGCTTTCAATTCTCTTGTTACACACCTAGGAATGGAATTGCTGGGTCATGTGGTAACTCCATGTTTAACTTTTTGAGAAACTGTCAAACTGTTTTGCTGCCAAACTGCACAGTTGTTCATTCCCGCCAGAAATGTGTAAGGGTTCCAATTTCTCTACATCCTTTCAGCACTGGTCATCATTTGTACTTTTGAGTACAGCCATCCTAGTAGGGCTGAAGTAGTATCTCATTTGCACTTCTTTGATTACTAATGAATGATATTGGCCATCTTTTCATATGATTATTGGTCATTTTTATATCTTATTTTGTGGAATGTGTTTAAATCCATTGTCCATTTTAATTGGATTATTTGTCTTTCTATTATTGAATTGTAAGTGTTCCTTATGTATTTTGTATATTAGATCCTTATCTGATATTTAATTTGCATGTATTTTTCCCATTCTGACAGTTGTCTTTTTACTTCCGTGATGGTATCCTTTGAATCACAGCAGTTTTAAATATTGATGATGTCAGCTTATCTATTTTTTTCTTTGGTTTCTCGTGCTTGAGATCTCATATCTTAAGAGATGTTGCCTGAGCAAGGTCATGAAGCTTTACTTCTGTGTTTTCTTCTAAGAGTTATATAATTTAGCTTTTACATTTAGATTTCTGATCCATCTTAATTTTTGTGTATAGTCTGACTTAGGAGTCCAACTTCATTCCTTTGCATATGGAAATATGGAAATCTAGTTTTCCCGGCACCATTTGTGTGCATGGGAAACTATTCTTTTCCACTCAGTTGTCTTAGCATCTTTGTTGAAAATCAGTTGATCATAAATGTATGGGTTTATTTCTGGACTCTCTGTTCTAGCATGCAGTCTTGATTATCGTAACTTTGTAGTAACTTTTCCACTCGTTTTTTTTTAACATTTAATTTTTCTTAAAAAATTTTTTTTGTTTTTTTGGGGGGGTAAATTAGGTTTATTTATGCATTTTTTAATTAATTTTTTTAAGTAGAGGTACTGAGCATTGAACCCAGGACCTTGTGCCATTCTTGATTTACGTCAGAGATTCATATATGCGTATAAATGTTGAATTAAGGGATTGTTGTGGTGTGCTGAGCTAGGTATGTTAGCAGCATAACCCAACAACAAGAGCAGGGAATATATTGGGTTACGTGTTGTTCAGAAAGATGGTTGTCTTTCTTCCCAACTTTCATTAGGGGAAGAGAGTACTTCAGAGATGTGTCAAGAGGTAGAAAACTTAGCTTTTATGCCTACTCTTTGAAGTATCTGAAGATTTGGAGTTCAGGTAAAGAGAAGTATTAGAAAGCTAACAATGTCAATGAGAATTAGCCAGTAAACTGAGAAGTGGAGTCAGAAAACCTGGGTTGAAATTCTGGTCTTTACAGTATTAGTTTGATGACTTGCCCTAAGTCATCAAACTTGATTTTGGGCAAGTCATCAAACTTGATTTTGAATCTTACTCATTCACTGACTCATTCATTCATTTATGTATTCATTGTTCCCTTTTTCTTCTCATATCCCACTTTGTGAAAATACTTCTCAAAGTGTGACTTCCAAAACGGGTATAATATGTGAGGTCCTGTCTCACAAGCAAGAGGATTATTTTTGTTCTGGGCCTGGATTCTGATTAATGCTATCTTAGAGTATGTTACTCTTTTTTTTGGCAGCTGTGGCCACATCACATCTGATTTATCCTCCTTTCCTTTTGTTGAATGCTACCAGTTTGTCTAACAATACTCTATGTTGTTTCTAAAGGCCATGTTGTCTTTGAAATCATGGAACTGTTGTGCAGATCAAGGCTGAGAAAATGACTTTGCTATAAGCCAAGAGAAGCAGCCTTCTAAGGTTCTCCCTCCATATCTGCAGGGGATTGGTTCCAGGACCCCTGTGGATACCAAAATCCACAGATGCTCAAGTCCCTTATATAAATGACGTAGTATTTGCATATAACCTACGCACATCCTTCCATATGCTTTAAATCATCTCTAGATTACTTATAATATCTAACGCAATGTAAATCCTATGTAAATGCTATGTAAATAGTTGCCTGCACATGGTAAATTCAAGTTTTACTTTTTGGAACTTTCTGGAACTTGTTTTTTCCGAATATTTTCAATCTGCAGTTGGTTGCATCTATGGATGTGGAACCCGTGGATAAGGAGGGCCAACTGTACTGTAGGGACCCAGGTTTTCAGCTTTTGGATGCAGGAGTCTCTTCCACATGGTATCTATTTCTCTCCGTGAATCTGCCCTTTCCCTCTGTTTTCTTGGCTCTTCCTCTAGTCTGTAAGTCTTTTTTCCCCCAATAGCTTCTGTTTATAGTTTTGGCCTCCTCAGGTATGTTTAAGCTTCCCTAACACCTCACAATCTCACTGTGCCCTACCTGTCCTTCAGGCCTTCTTCATCCAAGTCCTCCCAGCTTCTCCTCCCAATGTGATCTCAGTTTCTCAGATTCCTGAACGAGAAAGACTGATTAGTTGAGCATCTCTTTTCACACCAGGCGCATCACTGGTTGGTGGCCACTTGATGAGTTGGCTGCCCTTGGGTCAGGGACCTGTTTCCAACCACCAGGCAGAGGCCGGGTAGTCAGCACCAAGGGGTCCACACAGGACTTCTGCAGAACTCTGTAGGGGAGACACTTTTTCTCTGCGCCTGTGACTTTGGCAGACACTGAGGCTGACAGTATAAACTCTGGTTTGTACTGGAGTATAAACTCATATGAAATATGCAAGAAGGCTGGCTTTTGATTTGGCTTGGTTGTGTGTGTTTTGTTGCGGGATGGAGATTAGTTTGGCATAATACACGCATACGAGTTTTTATGGGCATTCAAGCAGAAATATTCAGCTGGAAACACGATCCCAGAGGTCAGAAAGAGTGGATGTTAGAGTAATTCGAATATTATCTGTGTAGAGGTTTTTAAGCCTCTATCAGATAACTGAGTAAGGAAGTGTAGGGAGAGGGGAGCAGGCTGAGGACGACTCAAGATGGAAATAGGAAGGAGAGAAAAAAGCAGCTCCCTGGGAGAGATCAACATGTAACCAGTTCACTTAATGCCATGGTACATGTTGATTTTAAAGAGGCAGATAAATGAATCAAAAATGTTTTCAAATGACTGGAATTTTGAGTATAGTTTTGCACTAACTGCCTTAACTTTCTGAACGACTCTTGCTGTGTTCCTACCCCAACCCCCTTCCTTACAGGTGGAAGAGGAAATCCAGACTCTGTCTCAAGTGTTGGCAGCCAAAGAGAAGCATCTAGCAGAGATCAAGCGGAAACTTGGGATCAATTCTCTGCAGGAACTAAAACAGAACATTGCCAAAGGGTGGCAGGATGTGACAGCCACATCTGCGTATGTTCCCTTGATCCTACATTTTTCTTGAGAATGTAAAGGACACTGTGCTCTCTTGGTCTGGGGCGGGGAAGTGGGGAATGAGAATGTTTCTGCCGCTTTTCTTTGTGCTGCGCAGGGCACTTTCCCCCAGTTCTCAAGTGTATCTGATTCTCTTCTCTGACTTCAGCCTTTCAAACTGTTTCAGGAAATAGAAAGCAAGCCAGCCTTATATGTGAGTTAAAGAAATAAAATTTGGGGGTGAGGGTGTAGCTCAGTGGGAGACCTGTGCTGAGCACGCACGAGGTCCTGGGTTCAATCCTCAGTACCTCCATAAAAAAAAAAAGAAAAGAAAGATAATTTAAGTTCCAAACATGTTATATATTGACTTGCCAGAAATATGCATGAGTCCCTGAGTCCTCAGAATAAGCCAATAGAGCAGGGGGTGAAACAGGGCAGACAAGTTTTGAGGTCACACCCCTCTCAAAATGTGGAGGCGGCATTTGAACTCAGGTCTGACCTATTACAGAGACAGTCTTCTTTTGACCCCACTTTGTACGTAGCATAAGACTCTCAGATCGCTGTCACTGATATGTGCTGGTGGCAGAGGCCCACCCCTTAATCTTCTGGCCCTTTTGATCACAGGTGTGGATAAGGCATTATCACGATGCAGTTTTGTTTCTGGGCACAAGGAGGAGCAGGCTTCTAGTAACAGGCTCCCAACTGTGTTCTCCGGTCAGTCCCACCTGCTGAGCCGGTGACCAGCCCTGCCAGGCCGACAGCACCCCGACCTGCCTGCAGTGGGTGCCCACCCCCTTCTGTCCATTTTCTGACCATAGAAGTAGGCAGCGGGAAAACAAGCAGAACGCTAATCTTTGTATCATCATAAGCTGTGTTTTTTTTTTCGTATCGATCTTGAGTGAGTAAGTAAAAATGCCTGAGCATTCCTTTCCATAGTGTGGGGATATTAACCGTATTCTTTGTTTTTGTTTTTCTTTCCGCAAATCCCTGAGAGATGGGAAGAGGGAGGTGATAAATCATACCTTTGTGCTCTAGAAAATATCCCACTCGAGTCATTCTCCTATTCTGTCGGGAATCCATCAGCCCTTATTTGATAGCTCTACAGATAAGCAAAACTGAAAAAAAGTCTTTATGCACCCCAAACTGACTTGGATAATAAAAAGTACCCATGGGCCCTACCTTGCTTCTGGCCCTTTTGTAGGAGATAAAGTTGTGAAAGGCACATAAGAAATTTGATTTCATTTTGTTCAAATTTGTTTGGCTTAAGTGGAAAAGGAAAGACATAAGAGGTGTGGTTTCATTCAATTCTGACTCCTGTTGGTCTTTGCTCCGTGACTATTTCTAGCCCCTACCCTGATTTCTTTGGCGCTGCCTTTGGGGGCCTCTGTCTTTCTGGCTGTCCTAGGGCCCTGCAGAAGACGGTGTCTGAAGTGATGCTTAAGAAGATGATGTGATGATACTGACCTGGTGGTTGTGAAGAATTTTGGATGTTCTAAAAGAAACTTTTTTTGTTTTTGAAGAGTTCACCAAGAGGTGGTAATCACTGAACTCTGACTAATTGGTACTCGAAAGCGTAGCTTACTTTTCTTTGTTCTTTTATAATTTAATATAGATACAAGAAGACATCTGAAACCTTATCTCAGGCTGGACAGAAGGCTTCAGCTGCTTTCTCATCGGTTGGGTCAGTCATCACCAAAAAGCTGGAAGACGTGAAGTACGTCCTCATTTTTCCTTGCTTAAGTAAACTGAGGCAAATGAAAGCAGTTTATCGTGGTTGAGTTTCCTGACGGGTTCCCTTCCTTTGGAGTGCGAGAGGGCACTCCTTCAAGCCAGGACCTGAAATGCTTCCCTAAATTCTTACAGGCATAGCCTTCCAAACAATCATCTTATGAGTACATTTAAGGTTGTTGAAAAATTCTGGTTGTGAACTTTTGTCCTTTTAGCCCTTCTGCATCATGCAGGGTAAGTATGTCTTTCGTGGTTGCAAACTTGTGGTTGTGAGCCGAGCCTGTGTTGATGGGGCCGAGTCCAGGAGCCCTGAAGCGCACGCTTGGACCGAGTCCCGCCTTCGCTGCTGGATGGTACATCTTTATGCCACGGTGTGGTTACAATATGCTCATTTGTGAACTGACTTGTTCCATCTCTTCATGCTGAGGCCTCAGTCTTGTTTTGAGCTGTTGCTTTTTATTTTGCATTTACATTTAGATGAGTCTGCAGGCTTTTCCTGGCCATTTTGATAAAACCACTTCACGGTGCTTTTGTGTTTACCCATGCCCTGCGCCACCCGCCACGTGGATTAAAACAGCGCTGAAAATGACAAACGTGGATTAAGTTGGCTGTGCTTCTGTTGGCATGCAAGATTTGTGTGTGTGTGTGTGTGTGTGTGTGTGTGTGTGTGTGTGTTTTCTTTAAACCTTTCAGATTGCATGCCTTTGTGGTTTTTGTTTGTGGGGAAAGTAGATTTTACAACCAGAATTTTGTTGGTTAAATAAGTTTGGTTAACTGATGTACGCTACTGTGTACCAAAAAAACTAAATGACTTGCTCATTGTATTTGGACTATGATCATTTTAAACATAATGTGATAAACATAGCTTTCTTAAACCCTTTTGACAGTTACGTAACTTTCCTTAGGGGCTCTCTTTTCTTTCTCTGCTGACTTGATTGTATACCCCTTTAGATTTTAGTTAAAACCTTATGTGACTTTTTAAATGTAGGTTATTTAATTGTTTTAGATTTACTGGAACTTCCTTTCTTTTTTAATGCTTACTCTGGCTTCTTGCAGATTGCAAGCCTTTTCACATTCCTTTAGGTAAGGAGAGTTTGAACCATCGCTGCAGCCAGGCGGTGGTCTAAGACAAGTGTGCTTATTAGATTGTTATGCCACCTTGGATGGTCGTGTTTGTCCAGTACATAATTTCCTTGCGTTTTGGAATACCTTTTCTCTGGTGCATTCCTGTTTTCAAGGGAGAGTTTCTTGTATACCATGAGTAATGGAGAAATTAAAAGAAGCATAATTTGACGCTGTGGTTCAAGGGACATGGAAACAATTTTGACATTTCTTTTTACTTTTTTCTTTTTGGTAAAAAGAAGCAGCTTTACCATGGCATGCAGAATTCCTCCCTTTTAATGTCTGACTTTGTTTGTTTGTTTCTGATGCTTTAATTTCTTTGGTGCCTTTGTAAAGATGTTGGAATTCTCCTTCACCTGGGTTCCATTATGCAGTTTGTAATAGGCAGCATATGGACTGTCTCACAGTGTTAGTCCTCCGTCTTGTACAGGTTACTCTGAAAAATATTTTTTAAATTGTGGGAAAGTATGTCTGAGATAAAATATGCCATTACTTTGCACTTTTTAGTGCTTATCTTATTAGCTTATAGTGTTTATTATTTTATTACTTTTTACACTAGTTGCATTCTTTATGCACACAAAGAAATTGCATGGTTGCAAAAGGAAAGATATAGTATATTAGGCTGAAAAGGAAAGCACATTAAAAAGATGTCAGCCTGAAGCATGCCTTGTAAGAAGGAATCTTTGTGATATCGTGCAAACCTCTCCTCTCTCTCCCATTACAGACTCTGATTATCCAGTTAGTAGTCAGGGAAAACTAAAGGAGGGGAAAGGACTTTAGAGTGTAAGCAGGAGGGCAATACAGTTGTCTCCATCTATGTTCCTATTAATGCAAATGGTCTTCTCGAGCGGTCACTTGCTATATAGCCTGGTTCTTTGCCTTCTTAAGTAATCAAACAGGTACTCACAGCTGAGGCCCTTTCTTAGTGACACTTGGCCCTGGAAGGCAGAGAAAATCATTGAGGTGAGCAAACTCTAAGTGTTGAACTCTTTAAAGTTAAAGTTGTGCTAAAAAAGCTCAAGAAATCGTGACGGGATTGATTCCGTATCTTTGGTGTTCAATTTAAAATGGCTTAAGTGCTTTAGGTAACTGTTAAGGTGGTTTTATCTGAATTGTGAGTTGTGTGAGGACGTATTTGCTCACATAATCCATCCCGCTAGCATTGAAGTGCCCACTGTGGACAGGTCCAAAGGGTATAACCTAGACCAGGATTCTCGTTCAGAAAGAGCTTAAAATCTTTGAGTGGATGGAGTGCAGGAAGGAAGTGGGGTCTGGGGGCGAGCTAAGAATGGAATATCCCTGTTAATACCCGATGATACAACGTTAGACGTAATAGAAACAGAAATGTAAAAACGTGTCAGTGCTGTTGAGGAATGTGCTTCATTAGTATGTATAACTGTTCTTTCTTTATGCCTTTAAAAACATTAAGCAAAGGTGGTGCGTAAGTATGGCCCAGAATGTGCTCTTCGTAATTCACCAGACACAAATTGAGCTGCTCTTTTTCAGCTCCTTACATAGTCACTTTCTTCATTGTATTTAAAAATATGCATAATTGAGATTGTACACTACCATTTTCAGTCCAGCTTTGAGTGAATAGTATATTGTGCATCAATACATGCAGGTTAAAGTAAGGCTTTACGTGATAACGTGGAAATGGGAGACAGAAGGTTACCACATTGTAATCGACTGTACTTCAATTAAAAAAATAAGTTAAATAAAATACATTTTAAAAAACAGTTGAAAAGATTATCTTTTGAAAGCTAAATTTTGGAATTTTTTCTCGCAGATTCAATGTTGGGTAAAGTCACTTAAAAAAATCATTTCTAGGCCAAGGTGTCCTAACTATAATCTGATTTAATGTGTTCATATATAATAGAAAATATATGAAAACACATAATAGAAGCATAGAATACGTAACAGAACATATGTAGTAGAACACATACATGAAGAAAACCCGCATCTTTTAGATGAGTCAGTCACAGAGGCAGATACTGGCCGCAGGCCCCCAAGCGCTGCTGGGGGAGAGGAGCTGGGGCAGCAGATCTGAGTGTTTCCTTTCCTCCCAGGAGGTGGACACAGGGGCCCCTTTCTTCCAGGGCTTGAAACAGTTGGGTAATCTTAACTCCCCTGTGTCCTGAGTCCAGGCGAACCCGGCAGACCTGTGGGCTGATTTCACTGTCTGATGGAATCGTGGACTTTCTGCTGACTTCAATTGTTAGAGTCAGCGACAGTTTTTATTGTACTGCATTATCAGTTAATAAATTAGCAGTCGGGATGCAGACATTTGTCGTTTTCCTTGGGTGGGTGAGGGAGGAGGAGGAGGAGGAGGAGAGGAGAGAGAGAGAGATCTGTTTTTGACACCCTGACAGTTAGGTGTCTGCTGCTGCCAGGAGGTCGAGGACCAGCCCTAGGACCGGGTGATGCGCGCCCTCCTGAGGCGCCCTCTGGGGACAGACCACTTTTCTCCCCGTAGTGTGTTCCCATTCACTCCTCTCCCGTTTGCTTGTTCTTTACACATCGTCATGGTTAAACATTGACTCATGCCTTTATTTTTTTTGAGAGAAACTTTAAAAGAGCCTTCCCCTGTCTCTTGGTGTCAGTGTTAAATAAACATCAATGTTAGCGTTAATAGCATGTGCTCATAATTCAGTAGCCTCGTTAGTCAAATATTTCTGATACATTTAAGAGGAAATGCTAATTAACATTGCCTTTCTCTTCAAAGGCAATTTCTGCTTTTTATGTGTGTGTTGCCTCTTGTAAACCTCTAGATTTTCTGTGTGTTTGTTTTGGGCTTATTAAAGTCATTCCAGACAATTCCATTTTGCTGAAAATTTCTGCCGCTTAATAGGAAAAGAAATGATCTCATTTCTCTTGTTAACATAGAGTACCTTTGGATTCAAATTTGAAAAGCTTTCATGAACTTTTCTGTCATGCCCATATTTCCTAATTTTTGTTACTGTAATTATTTATTCATTCATTCTTTTATTCAGAAGTGTTTACTGAATGACAGCTTTGTGCCAGGAGCTGTTCTAGACTGGAGGGTTCAAATTACCAATCAAAGCATTAGCTGGGTAAAATTTGAAAGCTCTAAAGAAAATAATGTGAAATAAATATTAATGTGTGTTTCAGTTAGAGTCATCTGTAATAATAATAATAATGGTGGACAGTTATGTTCCAGGCATGACCATATATAGTAGGTGCTATTATTTTTCTGATTTTACAGATGAGGAAAACTGAGCCACAGAGAGAGAAAGGGGCTTGCCCCAGGTCACACAGCCACGCGGCTGAAGGCCAGGATTTGAACCCAGCACACCCGGGTTCAGGGGCCTGCACTCCCCCCTGCATTGTTCTGACTCCCCATGATCAGTTAAGACTATGGCCCTCCAGGCACTTTGGTTCATCACCTACAATTAGGAGATTAATTTGAGGGCAAAATGGAATGACAGTACCTGGATGGCTCTCACAGGCAGGCCGGGCACACAGTGAGCGGCCAGCCACGTTCACCACGACCTCTCCTTTCTCTGTCCACTGCTTCCCTCCCCTCCTCCCCCTTTATTATTATTAGGGATGAAAGGATCAAATAAACAGGTAAGAAACAAGGAAAAATTTAAAAACCATTTCAGCTTTAAAAAATAATACCTCTCCAAGGTAAGAGTAATGTTAGATTGTGAAGTACTTAGTGAGTCTGAGTGAAAATCAGGTTGCCCGCTTTAATTTTTTCCCCCAGTGTTCTGAGGAGCCCAAACTTACGTTCCTACTTTGATTATTGGTTACTAGGTTTGAGGGTTAAGATCAAGCTGGAAAACGTTTTACCAAAATTTGCTTTATGGATTCTACTAGCCCTCACAATATATCTGTTAGAGGTAGTTCTGGCTCAGCAGCAACATGGCTTTTTGCTTTTTAAAGTTTTCCATATTATATTTAAACCAGTGAAATTGGAGATGCGAGTTGAAGCTTTGTGTAACCTTCCACAGAGAAGCTAGAAATGGCCAGACAGCAGCCCGACTGTTAGATTGCAGACAAGCCACCAACAAAAGAACATTTCGTTTAAATGTGACCTGTAGAGAAGTTCAGATAACTTGGTGCGGGGGTGGGGGGGGGGAGGAGGCTTGGCATGGTTCTTCCTGGTAATGGTGCCTCCAAGGTGGGGAGACCTTGGCTTTGTAGTGATTTAATTGATTTCATTCTCTGTTCAGTGGGTGCATTTTTAATCTTTTCTTATTGTGAAATGTAAAACATACAGAAATCCAATTCAGTGATTTATCACAAAATAAGCACCTTGTTGTAACCACTTCCTTGCTTTTTCTTATACATTCCCACTTAAACCTGTTTCGTGGGTATATTCTTCCTGGCACTCAAATGTTTAAATTCTTTGGCTGCTAATTGAAACTCAGCACCAGCAAGCATGATTTTCTCATGATCCTATAAAGGATCTAAAGTCCTTTATAAGAGATGCTGCGCTATTTCTTAGAATTCTCAAAGTGATCATCTTGAACATTCTTCTTTAAGTCGTATCACAGATATCATTGGCACCTGCTACATACTTAATAACTTAAATGCCCCAAATTATCATTTCTACTTTGGTTTTATTGGAAGCATATTGGTAGTCCTTCCTCATGGTAGTACTGTAAAAATGAAATACTTAAAAAATTGTGTGTATTTCCGACATTATTGAGTGTCTTCTGACTGTGTACCTACTCGTCAGTTTCCCCTGCCCTCCTGCTGTTGCCCTGCATTGATGCTCCACCACCATCCATCTCTTACTGAATCCACAGCAGATCCCTTGATGAGTCATACATGGCTCCCCACTGCCTTCTTGTTTCAGTTTACCTGAAAAAGGGGATGTGTTGTATAGAAAGACAGTTCTTTTGGAATCCAACGAGAGGAAAGGAAGTAAGCCCATGCCCCACCCAGATGGTCCTTGCCGTTTGGAAAGCTGTTAGAAATCACGGTAGCTTCTAGAAACCAAAGAAACCGAGACACCCACTCCTCTCCCACTGAGCCCTCTTCCCCGCATGGTCATCGCTCCCTCACTTCTCTGCCTTTCTCTGTGCTTATGTTCAGTCCTTTCTTGGGGAACTGACTTCCTCTGCATTCTTGCAGCTTCTACCTGGTCCCCAAAATGGTTTTCCTCAACATCGAAGCCTACATGACTTTCTAGCTCAAGTACCTACTATCAACTGACCAGTGTCATAGTGTCCTCTAATTACAAAATCCCATGTTAAGAATCATAATTGTCTCAAACCTTTTTTTTCTTTTTAATTCGGTCTAAACAATTTGTAGATTGCCCAGGGGTTAACTGTGGTGGGTGAAGCTCTATGATCCAGTTATTCTGTTGGTGATGGTGAAGGTGGCTTTGGCAATGTGGCTACATAGGTGGCTTCTTTAGAAGGTTGCAAGAAAGGGCAGGTAACTTAGGGGTTCTGGTATAAACTAGGAAAGATGATCTTCGTTAATCCTCATCTTTCCCATATGGTCCCAGTACACTGCAGTAGATACAGCAGGAAAAAAATTCTCACATTCCTCTCAGAATATAGTCTTATACCCAAGGTATCTACCGCTGTTGTAGGATGGAGAGGATGCTGAGCGACAGTGGGTCTTTCCTGTGTTATGTGCAACATTAAGTACAAAGCTGTCTGAACATTTTACTCATCATCTTGACTGTCTGAACTGCCGGCTTCTTTTTGATTCATATCAGGATCATGCTCCATATTTTTACATACTAATGCAAATCTAGATTTGAGGAGCTACATTTGAAACACAGAGCTATTTGTAACAACCACGTCTTGGAGAAAACTAAATCATGAACAGACACAACAACATTTAAATATAATTGAGAATTGATACCTTGGACTGTCCAGCTTCCCCCAAAACGCCTGTCAGTGATCAGAATGTTATAAGGATATTAACAGCATTGGCAAAGTGCATACAGTGACTTTGTGAGCCTGAGAATTGAGGCTCTTTGATCTTGTGAGGTGGTCTCTATGGGAGATGGCTGGAGAGTAGTTAACTTTGAACGTGGAATGGACAGGGAACTGTTTTGCCCGTGAGTAAAAAGCTAGTCCTGGTAAAACGGGGGCAAATGTTATTTTTATGGCTTTCAAAAGAATGTTTAGTTTAATTGGAATGAAGTACAGGTTATCTCTTATTAGAAAACTGATACTGCTGCTCCTAAGGAGTGATACGTGATTTTGAAGTTACTTGAAGTTGTCAAGTAGTGACTTACTTTGAAACCTTCCTATTCTGGTAACAAGTATGTGAGAAAAAGGCGGCTGCAGGAGCCCCTCCGTGGCCTCGTGTGTGTGTGTGTGTGTGCGTGCACGCGCGCGCGCCTGAATGTGTGTGCTTCATTTTTTGAGGGGAGGCGGTGAACATTGGCTTAGTAGTCTCCAAGACCCAAGTTCCATTCATGATTCTGCTGTGACCTTGGGTAAATTATTTAACCTTGAAGCCTCGATGCTAGACGCCTAACAGAGACAGGTGAAAGCTCTTGTCAAATTTCAAAGTGCTATAAAAATGCAAAGTTGAATTCTTAGCACTATTAACTGCTGGGATTAAATTGGCTCATGAATAAAAAGTAAATTATGTTGGAATACCTTTGGTCCCCTCCACCTCAAAAAGTAGGTAATTCTTCATGGTGTCACAAGAACGAGCTTCTAGGAAGCTAAGTTTTGTTTGCTTTGTACAGTGTCTAATCTCCACTTTACTAACTCCATTTCTATCTCTTTTTAATGCTGCCTCTTAGTATACGCTCCATTCAACATTCAATTAGCATGCCTGCAATGAGGTAAAGTATATTTTTACAAAATGTAGTTTGTCTGATGTTTCCTTTTTGGAGGGAGGGGAGGCCATTAGGTCTGTTTACGTATCTGTTATTAGCTTTTTTTTTAATGGAGGTACTGAGGATTGAACCCAGGACCTCGTGCATGCTAAGCATGTGCTCTGCCATTTAAGCTACACCCTCCCCCAGTTTGATGCTTTCTTATTCTTTATTTAGATGTTTAACTTGAACTGTTCTGAAGTAGGAGTTAGAATCTGCTCTAAACAAGCTGCGTGGAAACTGTTACCAGTTTGCCGTTGCTGTTCCCCCAGTGTTAGGCTGGGCGCCAGAAGTCCATTAAAAAAAGATTTTAAGAAAAGAATTATGACTTCTGCTTTATTTTGTAACCCTGTGAAGTTGTTTCATACCTGGAATCTGTTTCATTGAAAAAGTGAACGCTGCTCATCTAATCAGCCTCCTCTTTTCACGGACGTACGTGTCACACCACCTCTGTCTTCATCAGCTTTGGTTACAGTCCCCTTTCCTTTCACCCTCTTCATTTCTACTTCCCTCGTCCCACTGTGACATTTGGTGGTTTGATTCTGCTGTCCTCTTTCATCCATAAGCACCTGCAAGTGTCACACGTCACTCCCTCAGCTGACCTCCCTGTAGGGGTGGAGGATTTTTAACGATACAATGCTAGGTTTAAACTTCCGTGTGCATCAGAACTGCCTGGACTGCTTGCTGGGCCCCACCTCTGGTTTCTGATTCTGTAGGCCTGGGGTGGGATCTGAGAATGTGCATTGCAGACAACTTCCCAAGAGCCACTGATGCAGCTGGTCTGGGGACCACGCTTTGGGACCACGTGCCCACAGCTGCGGTGGGAAGGAGGAAACCCCTCCCTCCCTTGCCTTTGTCATCTTGGTAGTAGGAAGAATCTTGGAGGGCAGGTGAACAGTAGAAAAGCTTCAGAAACCCAGGTGGGAGCGACACAGGTGCTGAGATCCTCCTTAATTCATACAGACAGATGGATGCGAAGGTGCAGGGGAGGCGTCCCGTGGGCTCAGGGTGCTTCTGTCAGTTGGGGCAGCTCCGTGAAGTGGGTACAGCCACGTGTCTGTGCCCCTCCCTTCCTTTTGGCCCCTCGTCTGTTAGCTGCTCCTGGGAGCCAGGATCCCTGTTGTGGAACCTCCTAGGGTCTGCTTGTCCTGCTTAGGTGATGGGGGTTCATACAGAAATCTTGACAGGCGATATGTGACTTTACACACGAGTTCTGGAGCATCAGACTGATCGAACAGTTGCATTTTCTTGTACCGTGACAGGTTGGTTGGGGAAGTGACAGAATCACTGTTTTACCTGACCTTGTTCCCTCTCCTCACACATGGACTTGACTGTGTCTGTATGTCTGACTGGCTCTTTCCATGGAATCAAAAGGGCATCATTGCAGAAACCTTGAACAGAAGTCAATAATCTTACATAGTAAGACATAGTTGGATGTATGCTTGCACGCCTGTGGTACAGGTGTTCCTTATGCTCTATGTGTTCTTTTGCTGATTGAGAATAATGGCGAAGAGGAATACCGTGATAATATTTTCAGCTAATAATATTTTCAAAATTGTTGGATTTTTTGGTTCAGTGTTTGTGATTTTACTGTTTTTCTTTTCTCTCCATAGAAACTCCCCAACTTTCAAATCATTTGAAGAAAAGGTGGAAAACTTAAAGGCAAGTAGAGAGATGATGGACAGGGTCGTTGCATTATCTCGTTTGGTGCCTTAACTTTCTTTGGTGTGGGTAAATTATGCAAATTAGTATTTCTCCCTAAAAAATATTTAACTAAATTTAATAACTGTTCTTTATATTATCAATGGCTGTTTAAGGTGGTATGTACTCTTTTAAATCATTTTTTTTTGAGTGTTTGTTCTAGCATGGAGCATAAGTACTGAAAAGAAATGTGTAATTGAAAAAACAAGAGCGCTTTAGAAGTCTGTGCTGCTTTTCGCATTGTTCACGTCAAATACTTTTGTACTTGGACCAAATTTAATATACTCTTACTGTAGAAAATGAAAAACAATATAGAAAAGCAAAAAGAATAAAACACACAAAAAATTGCTCCCACAACCCGGACAGTGATATGTAATAGGACTATGCTGTCATGCTTTGAAGAAGAATTAAGACTGTAAATCATAAACATTTTTCTGTATCATTAAATACTGTTTTTCAGTATTATGCTTAATAGCTGCCTGCATAGCCTTATGATGGAGATTGTTTGTTTAATCCTTAATTATTGGGCATTTTTATTACCATGGTCACCACCATTGATGATTCATTGTTTTACTTTTTGCTTTGATTCTGGTAAAGGTGGACATTTTCCCATAACAATCAGCTTTATTAATTTGTCAGTTGTACTGTCTTCAAGACTATATTCAAAACAATAAGGTCTTCAAGGATCACAAGGGACCAGAAACGTTGTTCTGTTCCCATCCACTGCCCAGCCTTCTCTGCAGACTTTGTGCAAAGCCAGTGTGTTCATTTCTTCCAAAACGAATTCTGATAATTATGGTGGATATTTTTAAGGACTAAAACTAGTATCTTAATTGTTTTATATAAATCAGCTTAAAAATAAGTATTCAGATTTGGTCTTTCAGAATTGTAATCGAGTCACTTGTTTTTAAATGCAGCTTTTTAAAATTACAGAATCAGGGTATGCTTATGGAAGGAAAACCAAACAGTGCACCACGATCTGGATCTTTTTTCCTTGCACATAGAAACACTACTACCCACCCATTCTGTTTCTACATACAGGTATAAAAGGTTTTCAAGAAGGAATCACACTGCACACACAGTCCTACAACCTGCTCATTCGCACTAGCAGGTGTGACCCACAAACGCAGGCACCTGCTCATTTTGCTCTCTGTGCTTCTCAGTGGCCTAGAGTCCTTAGCACATTACAGCTACTTAATATGTGCTTGATGAGCAAAAATATATCATAATCACTCTTCTAGGCCAGTACCAGAGGCCTGCTTTATTCTTATTAATGCCTAGTCATATATTTGAAATCAAACTGGACATTGCAAGGAATTCAGTTCTGTGTTTTAGGCATTTCACAGCCGCTTCTTAAACTCTACCCTCAGTGTCAGTTTTTGAACCAACTACCTGGAAAACCAGAGGACCTGTGTTCTTTGACACTGATGATGAGGAGAGACTTCCAGTCATTTATTATGTACTTTCCTCCTGATTATATTTAGACTCTATAAATTGTGGTGAAATGTGCTTTTAAAATATGCCTAGAAATTATTCAGATAAAAACATGTAATATTTATTTATTTAAATTTTATTTTTTACTGAAGTGTTGTTGATTTACAATGTTAGTTTCAGGTGTACAGCAAAGCAATTCAGTTATACATATACATACATATATATATATTTCAGATTCTTTTCCATATGGGCTATTGCAAGATATTGAATATAGTTCCCTGTGCTATACAGGAGGTCCTTGTGGAAAAATATGTATTTTTAAAAGGATAGTATATTAAACAGGTATCAGTCACCAAGGAAGCTGTAAACTATAGCTTGGGATACAGTTTTTCTAACTTACACTTGTATTCAGTTAAGCATCCGGTCTGCAGATACTTACATTTAGATTTTGGATTGAGTCATTAACGGTGATCATTGAGCATTTGCCATGTGTCAGGAGATGAGTGTTGGACACTGGGAAAACCTCGGTGAGGAAGATAAACACAGATCTTTCTGCAAGGTGTTTAGACAATTAGATGGCCAGTCAAAATAAAGTGAGGTAAGGTGCTATGACAGTGACAGGAGAGGCTTCAGTCAGGGTCACTGGCAGGAACTGTGTAATGCTTGGCAGGAGGGAAGGTCAGAGAGGGCTTCTCAGTGGACGCAGTCCTGTAAAGGGAGGCCTCTTGGTTGAAGGGAACATTTGAAGCTTTGGGCCCCCATTCCTGGAACACCAGGAACTTTGCTGTGCTCTAATGTGTTGAGCAGGAGACGAAGTGGGTGGGCCATGTTAAAGAAAAAGTGGGAAGCCGTTGAGAGATTTTTCTGAGCGTTTTAGAAAGATCTCTGGCTGCCCTGCCGATCTAAGCGGAGAAGGACTGGAGAAGGAGACCAGTTGGGAGGAAGGTGTTGGAACCCAGGCCAAAGATGATGGTGCAGTGAGTTAAGCCATCTCCAGTGGGACAAAGTCGAGAGATATTTAGAATTTAGAAATGACAGACAAAAAGTTAGCGATTGGATGTGGAATGAGACAGGGAAGGACCAAAGATGACTCTAGGAGTCTGACTGGGAGGTGGGACTGCCATTCAAAGTCTTAGACTAGAATAGAGATGGGACCAGCTGTGGGAGGAGTTCAGTTTTAGACATGTTGAATTGCAAGGGATCTTAACATTTTCTTATGATTAAGGAATGTTTTCATAAATTTCATAAATATACAGTGAATATAAGTCATGCAAAATTTTTCAGATAATTCAAAGATTTTAGATGGGAGACCAAAAATAATGAGCAAATTTCAGCTAGATTCCAACTAGTTAGAGTCTGGCCAGTAAAGACTGAGCTAAGAGCAAGGGCAGATTCAAACCCACTGTGAACTGCATCCTTGATCACTGATTGGTGTCTTAATGTTAGCTGTCCTGCTGGCCAGTTAGGGGATGGAAGCGGGAGGTGTGGAGGGAGGAAGGGAGGGGTAGAGAGAACACTTGCACAAGCACAAAGATACATCAGCGCTAAGGATCAGTGACATCTCTAAGGGTTCTGAAAAGCATACAGTATTGTACAAGTGTAAGGCAGATATATTCATTCAAACCAATGTTTATTGATAAATGTTCAGGCCAGGTAACTTGGAGTAGTGCTTCACAAACTATTATGTGTAGGAAGCATCCAGAGATCTTGTTAAAGTGCAGATTTCAGTTCTGCAGACGGAGGTGGGGAGGCCAGTCTGAGGTTCCAGTTTTCTAACAAGCTCCCAGGTGATGCTGGGTTTCAAGGTCCTCGCACACTTTAAATAGCAAAAGGTTAGAACGTTTATGCTGTAACTGGGAACCATATACGTTATTTCTTTTCTTCATTATACTCAGTTCACGGAAGTGTTACTCAACTATAAACAGAAATCAATAGCTATTTTAGAATAATGGGTCTTAAAAAATTCGTTACATTTTGCTGTGAAGAATAAGCCGGGGAAAAGAATTTGCCAATTTGAATATTTCAGCAGGGAAGTCTGTGTAAGTTTCTTTTTTTTATTAAACCACTCTGAGCATCACAACAGCACTAAATTCTATACATATATAATAATCACTGAGGTATCAGGTTCCTGATTTTTTTCTTCTTTAAAGTTACTTTATGTAGAGTCAGCAAAGTTTCTGTTTCATAACGTCTTTTCCTTTTTGAACTTTTAAAAGTCTAAAGTAGGGGGAACCAAGCCTGCTGGCGGTGATTTTGGAGAAGTCTTGAATTCGACTGCAAATGCCAGTGCCACCACCACGGAGCCTCTTCCAGAACAGACACAGGAAAGCCTGTGAGATCCTCCCTTTGTTCTGCTACTCACTGCCAGATGCTGCAAGCGAGATCTAAGCACATCTTGTCAACAGTCATTGCCATGAATTTCCACCAGATGTGCTTTCATTTAGCTTTACATATTCTTTTGACCAAATAGTTTGCGGGTTGAACAACATAAAAACATCTTCACCTCTATTCCTGGGAAACACCCTTTCACGTGCATTCAAAGCCCTTTATTTAGGAAGCATCAGTATAGAAACACGCATAGTACGTGGGATTCTCACTAGAATGATCATTGTTTCCCTCTTTTACAAAATTGCTCTGGATCTGGGATAGTAGTTTGACCTTTCTCTTCTACATGATTTTCTTTTTGTCTCTTTGAATCTTTGTATATTTGATTCGTAACTAGGATTGTTCTTTAAAATTTGCTGTATCCTGGTTATTAAAAGTTTTGGCATAATTTTCTTTACTTCCAAGGGAAGAACTACTGGCCACAAGAAAATAGTTTCAAATAAAAACACTGTTTTGGTGTAAGGTATCTTATATCTTGGGTCTCTGAAGACATCAAACTAAAATCAGCTCTATATTCAGTTTGTTATAATTTTATAAGTGACAAGATGTACAGTGATTCAAAATCCTAGGC